ACAGAGTTATACCTGTTAAGAGCTAGCTTTTCTACAAATTCAGGTCTTAAATTTTTCTGAATCCACTTCACTTTTGTGACCAGTGCTGGTGTAGACGTGAGCCTACTGAATAGTTGCTCCATTACAGCCACAAAAATGACTATGGATTCATCTTCAAATTGTTTTCTATGTTTGATAGTCTCCCAGAGCTCCTCATCATAGTCCCTACTCAAGAAATCCTGTTCTAGTCGTTTAGATAAAGAGTCCCAATCTCTTACAATATTGTTTTCTTTAACATGACGAAGCCACAAAAGAGCCTTACCAGAGAATAAGTCAACTGCCGATTCATACAGTTGTTGACGAGTAACCTGCCTAGCTTCAGCTAGTTCATAAACCCTTTCTAGAAATGATTTGACCCCTAGAGATTTTTTTGAACCGTCAAATTTCAAGTCCCACTTATAAATTGAAGCTGGTTTCGAAGTGCTTGGCAATATGTTAGGATGAATTCGTGGAGAAGATGTATTTACAGATGGATCAAATATGGATTGTTCTTCTTTAATCCTCTCATCTAACTCTGCTTCTAAAGTTAAACAGGAAGCATATGCTTCATTACGAAAGTCAGTAGGTGCTGTGTTACCTTCAACATTTTTAATTCTGTTGATTCTCATCATAACATGTGCCAAACGAGATCTTAACCTCAAATATAAAGGATCAGTTACTGGGCCATTAAAATCTGGAATTAGTTGACTTATGTTGTCTAAAGTATTACTAATTGAAACTTTTTCATTATCAAAATTGTATTCATTATCAACAAGACTAGTAGCTGATATACCAGACTTTTCCTCTCTCTTCATGGCAGCTGATAGAACTTTACGTTTGTCAGTCATAGGCCTATTTGTTACTATTCCTCTCAATCTCAATTCATAGTTGACTTCCTCAATAAGTAAATGTCTAGCTTTTAATTCAGACTCCATTTTAAAAACTTTTTGTTCCTTTTTTTAAAAATTAGGTAAAGTAATATATATGCCCAGGTATTTATATATACCTAAAAATTAATCAGGGAAAATACCTGAATAAATGCACATGAAAACAACCAAATCATATAATCATAATGGAAATTCCTCAAAAGGTAAAGGCTGCAATGCAAAAATACTCTGTGCACAAAATGACTCACCTCACTACAGGCAGATGAAGTTGGACTAAAAATGGGGCTGCTCAAATCCAGAACTCCAGTGTACAGAACTCCAATAAAACTCCAATAGAATCCTTGGTAAAAAGTTCAATTTTCCACAAAGTTGAATTTTCCACTAGTTTTTCCAGCTGATGTTGTGCTAAAAAGTTTCAAAAATTTCACTATCTAATTTTTATAATGACCTAATTTAACAGTCTAAAAATCGGGCCCCACGTTCATGGTGCCAATTATCTATAACAACTCTTTTGATGTTTTGGAAAAGAAAGAGATTTTGATTTGTTATAGGCACGGCAGCTCGCTTGTTTGGGAGCAGGTCGTGAGTTAGTTCTTTTTATTATTCACTAGTGGGGTTATCCTTTTGTCAGGCGCCACTCAGTTTTCACAGCTGAATTACTGAGAAAAAAATCCAAGATATAAGTATAAGCCAAAATAACTGTTAACAGATTTATTCACCTTAACATGTCAACAATAGGTATTCAAATGGTGGTAAATATGTATTATGATTGTAACTCAGTACAAGGGTTGATTTCCCTTCATATAGGCCTATACTTTGGGTTCACAGAGTCTCTAACAGACCCAAAAATTCTATTATATATAAAATCCGATCTTAGACTGTTATGTGTTATTGACAAGTGTTCAAATATCTCATGACATTAGACAGTGAAAAATAACTATTTAAATGTCCTCAGACAGTGAAAAAATATGTATGTTAAATGTCTTCAAGACAGGGAAAAAAGTACATGTTAAATGTCCTCAGACAGGGAAAAAATATGCTAGTGAAATGTCCTCAAGACAGGGAAAAAAGTATATATATGGAATATTCTGACCTTAGCTGCAAGTTCTGGATTTTGAACCATGAGATTCCAACTGTGGTCCAATAGATCTCACTACCTGGATGAACAAAGACACTCCTCCCTCAGTCGGCGGTAGGGGTTAGGTGTGCTAGGAAAACTGGATCCCCACACAGTTGACAGGAGTCACAACCACCTGGAGACCTGGGCACTTGGTGTATCCCAGGGCAACTGGATTCTGCACTGCAACTCTGGCTGACGGGTCCACAGGCTGCCACCAGGGCAAGCTCTTCCTACCATCCAAGCTGGACCAGGACGTCTCACTATCTGACTGGGCTCTGGGAGTTCAGGCTCCAAAGTAACAAAATCCTAGGGATTAAGGATTAATCAACCATACCGGGAGTCTGGACTCCCCTGGACTTCCTGTCAGAAGTCAGGATCACTGGCTATCTGAACCAGAAGGGCTGCTAGGGACTTGCACTGTTGGCAGCAAGGATTCTGCCAGAAATTCCAGGCTGTCGGGTCCTATAGATGCCCAGAGACATGCACAAGAAATCACCAGGGTCTTGCTTCCACCTTCAAGTGTGTTGGTAACTCAGGCTTCAAAGCACGAAGATCCCTCAGGTGCCTCAACCATCGAAAGAAAATGTCATGTGATGTCCAAACAGTGAAGTCCGGAAAACAGTTCAAGATTTCTAAATGCCCATGGTTGATGAGATTTGATATTTAGTGATCCATCCAGTTAACAGTGTTCATTGGTAAAATTCAATTCAAGTCCAGAAACATAGCATGTGGTCAAAAGAAAATGGAGTTCAAATCATCCACTCAGTCTGTGCCCCCTGCTCCCCTGTATAAGGCCGTGATATCTGAAATGTAGATACCCTATCGAATATCATCCACACAAAAAGAGATTTAATATTTCTTACCTTCCTATCGGAAAGGCCTAACACAAAAGTAGGTGTCTACCACCTGACCTGTTCGCACGAGAGTCAAAATCAAAAAGGGCTTCATTTTGCTTCAACACATGAAACCTTTTCGCAAGAGAAGGAATCAGCAAGAAGGATGAATAAACGGAAATTGCTCAAATAACAAGTTTCCGTCAATCAGAGCACTTGTGATCTATTCAAAAAAAATAATACAAACCAAAATCCGTCTCTGCGCAGTGTCAATCTAGCCACCCAAATAATATGATTCAAGTCAAATTCAGGGATGCAACTTGAAAGAAATATTAAATATCGATCATGACATCGATAGTCGATACGATAGTCGATACATAATTGCAAATATCCCTGCACCATTACAGGCCACTGCCACTAAACGCGACAAACAGTCTTCTACTGGCAAGAGACTATGATGTAAACAACAATATTCATGGCCATCTGACACATGTGTAAGAATTGTTAAGAAGTGGACTAAAATAACCCAACAGTCATGGACATTGAAAATGAAAACATTTAACAAGATGAAATTACAAAGTACCTCAAAACCTAGAAAAGAAATCATTGAGTTACGCAGTGCATGTCTACAAAGCTTCCCAATTACCTATTTTCAGAATTCACACTATGGAACACGAAAAGGCAAATTTTCATGTTACAGTACGAACTCTGAAAAATTTAATATTCGCTGTGTTCTTAATCCACTTTATACATCACAGTATGCGTCAAATCCGGTAGTTCTGATTTTTTGCAGACTTGTTGATGATGTTGACCTAATGAATAATCCAAGTTTGTGACCTTAAGCGCCGAACACAACTTTGTCAAAAATCGAAGAAACTGCGAAAAAATCGTTTTTTTTTAGTTTTTGGTGATTATAACCCTAAAGGACTAGTTTTTGAAAAAAAAATATCTCAGAACGTTTTCAAAGTAGATCGAATTTGCTACAATACGATATGAAAACTGTCTCTGTAGACTCATTATAGTTTCCGAGATTGAGCCTTTCAAAGTTTATCATTATTTTCGAACTTCGCAATTTTTTGCAATCCTATCGTTCTGATGATAAGAAAGAAAATGAGGAGTGTGAACGAGGATGTTTAAGCTGAGCTACGAATAAAGAATTTAAAAAAAATAAGTACAACACAAGTTAATGAGTTTATTTGTTAGGAAATCGAGTAATATTAAAGATGAAAAATTAAATTAATTTAGCCCTCTTGGAAGGTCCCGGTTGAGGTTCGTCTGGATCTGGATCGACGTATTGGGTTGGCATATCCCCATCAGGGGATGGTGTTGAATCGTCGACGTTTTTTGCTCACAAGTCATCCTCCATTTCAACAAAAATGCAGGTAATATGTGTATTGTGGTGGATAGTGGAAGCCGTGTAGATCGGGAAAATTTGCTTAGTTTTTTCACATTCCTACTGTGATTCTGTGAAAAACTCTGTGCATTATCCACAGATAAAAGTTCTATCAAGAATATGAAGAGAAATGTGGATAGCAGCCATCAAGAGAAAGGATCCAACAACAGAATCAATCATGAGAAACCAAAGGATGTGTAGCAGGTACCTGAGAAAAAACCAATACTTATATTATTATATGTGATCGCCCTACAATCAGGCGCCATCTTGACAGCTAAAAAGTCCCGCAGTTTAGCTAGCTATATTCGAGTGACGCCTAAAAGATTGCGAAAAATTGCGAGGTTCGAAAAAAATTATTAACTTTGAAAGGCTTAATCTCGAAAACTATTGAGTCTACAGAGACAGTTTTTATATCATACTGTAGCAAATTTTATCTGCTTTAAAAACGTTCTGAAGGAGTTTTCTTTAAAAACTAGTCCTTCAGGGTTATAATCGCTAAAATTTGAAAAAAATACGATTTTTTCGCGGTTTTTTCGATTTTTGACAAAGTTTCGTTTGGTGCTCGAGGTCACAAACTTGGGTCATTCATTAGGCCGACATCATGAACAAGTCTGCAAAAAATCAGAACTACCGGATTTGACGCATACTACCCCCATATATATGTTCAGGCGACAAAGTTACTGGACTAGACGAGTGAAAAACGCGATGAGTTATATCATGAATTTAAGTCCCTCTTTTTTTTATTCAAGGAAATGGAGGAACAGTTTACGTTGTGAAACTTCCTCTACTGGAGAAAGCTGAATACGCCGAGTATACCATGCACAGCAAAGTTGTTCTGAAGGTAGATTACACATGATCAACGACAAGTTTCGAATTTTATTGATCATATTTTTATTTACAAAAAAGTATATTAGTATCAATATACACTCACCGGCAAAATAATCGATCCACTCAAAATATTGATAAAATTTGATTAACGATATCTTCGTTAATTCATGTCTGATTCGTTCAATTTTTTTTTATTCCGTAGGTAAATTCATAAAGAATCACACACAATGTTGAGATTTTGAGAAATGAGGCATATCTTCAAATTATACAAAGTGACAAAAAAAGTGCATTTTTACTTCAATTTTAAAACAATCTCTGGAGTGGCTAAGCTGGTTCATTCTGTAATTTTTCAGTCAATCATCAAGCTACGTTTATTACGAACATTTTCTTTTTTTATTTGTTAGGATAACTGCATTTTTGTGGAAGTTACAAGGGTTTCAGAAGAACGTTACATTTCAACATATTTTTCTATGGTAATAACAAGGTTCCCCAAGCCATTTTTCGCATAGCTGGCTGTGACAGACCTGTCAGTTGACAATTTGTATGCTTGTGTTAATCATCGAATAGAATATGATATGGATCTTTATGCAACCGACTCTGCGAGAGCTATTGCTTTGGTGCAGGATGGTAGATCACAATATTATGTGGCCAGAGCTTTGGGAGTTTCAAGATCCAGGGTGCAAAGGGCTGTGAAACGGTTTCGTGAATTTGATGTATTCACAAGAAGAGGTAATAGTGGTCGGAAAAAATGATCGAGATAACCGCTTCATAACGCTCAAAGTTTTGAGGGACAGAAGACTAACTTCTGTCCAATGGAAAAACGAATTAGAGGAGGTGAGGCAAGTTCAAGTCAGCGATAGAACAATAAGAAGGAGGCTTTTCGATATTGGAGTCCGAGCAAGAAGACCTGCAACTGGTCCAGAGTTATTGGGGAATCATCGAGTTAATCGCCTCAGATATGCTAGGGAGCACGAATATTGGGGTAATGAACAATGGAGCAATATCCTATTCACCGACGAGTCAAGGTTTTGTCTCAGATCACCGGATGGACGTGAAAGACATTACAGAAGAGCTGGAGAACGTTTTCTCCAAAACCATTTTTCGCCAAGAGTGAGTTACGGAGGCGGTTCGATAATGGTGTGGGGTGGCGTGAGTTTTGAAGCTTAGACGGGCTTAGTCATAGTGGAAAGGGGATCCATGACAGCTGATAGGTATATAAGAGACGTTTTAGAACCACATGTTGTTCCATTTGCGCCGTTCATCGGAGACGATTTCATGCTTATGCATGACAATGCCCGACCGCATGTTGCTAGGATTGTGAATGAGTATTTAGACGTTGTTGAACTCCCAGTAATGCATTGGCCTCCTCGAAGCCCCGACTTGAACTCAATTGAACATGTTTGGGATGCTCTCGGGAAAAAAGTACGATCTCGTTTACCAGCTCCTGCAGATTTACAGCAACTCAGTGAAGTGTTAATTGAAGCATGGCAGCAAATCGATCAGAGGTGTATATTCAAAATCTGATAATGGGCATGCCAAGACGAATTGCAGCAGTTATTCGTGCACGTGGGAGAAACACGTCGTACTGAGTTCATTAGCATTCTTCAAATGATTTTCAGGTTTGATTCGTTACGTCGGTTATGTTCATCGTCGCCTAATTTGAAATGTTTATCATCACCAAAAGTGAAAATGTAACGTTTTTTTGAAACCCTTGTAACTTCCACAAAAATGCAGTTATCCTTACAAATGAAAAAAGAGAATGTTCGTTATAAACGTAGCTCGATGATTGACTGAAAAATTAGAGGATGTACCAGCTTAACCACTCCAGAGATTGTTTTAAAATTGAAGTGAAAATGCACTTTTTTTGTCACTCTGTATAATTTGAAGATATGCCTCATTTCTCAAAATCTCATCATTGTGTGTGATTCTTTATGAATTTACCTACGGAATAAAACAAAATTGAACGAATAAGACATGAATTAACGAAGATATCTTTGATCAAGTTTTATCTATATTTTGAGTGGATCAATTATTTTGCCGGTGAGTGTAGTATGTTGAAATGTATGTTATTTTGAAAAAAATCAGATGTGCCTATCGTCCGACGACAGATATCTGATAACCGGCACTGCGGACGGCTGCATCTGTTTCTGGAAACTGCTGAACATCGATGACAAGGCCATCCAGTTCGACCACGCCTCCTCCAACGAGATCTTGATTTCCCGCCAAATCCTCGAGGACAAGATCGACCAGATCAAGAACCTGCAGCTGCGCATGAAGGAACTGGAAACGGAACATTCGTACCAGATGCGACAGAACGACGCGCTGCACTCACTTAAGATGAAGGACATCCATGCCGGGTATTGCAATGCCATCGAAGAACTCAAACTCAAAAACGAGGTGAGTGTAGTAGATAAAATAGAGTGACGACAATAGACCTCCAAATGGCTGCCATTTCCAATATCATTCGTGGTCGAGACACTGAATAGCTGGAAATCTGAAGGGTTTTTCTCATGCAGAAATGAATTTGCGCCTTTGAAGTGTCCATCTGATGTAACGTTTAGATATTTGCAATTTGCATTTCATCATCCAAATAATCTGAGAATCACGAGTCTCAAGAGACGGATTGTAATAGTTTATATCCAAGGTAGTGACGTATAGAGGTACCATTCAATTGCTATCGGATGACATAATTCTCATCTTCTGATCAACTCGAGAAATTTTGCGCAAATCACTGCGCAAAAGTGCAATTTCTCAATCATTTCACAATGTTTTTTTCATTTCTTTGGGACATATGCCCTTTTGTTATCAGATGACTGTCGAAATTCGCAGCCGGCCCTTGGACTATTTGCCGGTGGTTGAGAAACTCCCACCTTGACTCAAATTATTGATAGACATATTTTTGGACATATTCTCACTTACGTACCTCATTTGAATGCAGTGTTCTGAGAAGGTTTTGTTACTTACTCCATACGCCACCTTAGGAGCAGCACTGTTAATTGAAACGCAACAGCTGGTCGTGCAGATTCATCTCTGGCCAAGGCTACGAAAATTATAATGTTGAGCTCTTTTTATAAATAAAGGTTCTCTACCCTGCCAGGAATTGAACCTAGCAACCTTTCGGCGTTCCAATTGCTAGTCAAGCGCTCAACCACTGCGCTATTCTGCCATTTCGCATTCAAATATTATCATGAAAGTTATCTAATTCGGCCATAAACAAAGAAGCAAGTCGTCTGACTCATGAAATAGGTATGACAAACATTCGGTAGTCGATCGGAGAATGTTTTTCCCTGTTCATCGTTTGTATACAGTCTGTCCAAGATGAGGTTGAACAGCATGGGGATCTCGAAAACGGTAAGAAATACGAAGTCGGTTAAATGAGGAAAACGTTGCGCATTCGGAGATACAGCAAAACGGAGAACTCTTTTTTATATCAACTTTTGATGAAGTTCAACGTGGTGATACCGATTTTTCTATGCGACGTTTCGTATTCGTGGAACCATCATCAACTTTTGTTTTTTAAATACGGTGCTGATAATTTTTACACAGATTCTGAAAGGTTTTTTTATTCTTAATTCAACCATGTATTATACAAAGTGGTTTATGTGTATTTCGACCTATTTTCAGCCAGCATCAATGTTTTTTCGAAATTCCCAAGAAAAATGCCATCAGTTCCACTTATTTTGAAGGAAAATTAGTCAACACTAATACCTCATCAACTGGTTTCAATCAACAACCCATTTCATTTTGCGGAAACAAATATTCCGTCTATAAAAATTCAGAATATGTCAAGCGCTAAAACCAGGCGATGACGAAAGGCGCAGGACATTCTGTGAGTGGTATACCAGGAAATAATAAAATTTTGCAGATTTTCCTCGAACAATCATCTGGACTGATGAAAGCATGGTTCCTGATCATGGTAGCTTCGATAGAAACAATACACATTATTGTTCACGAGAAAATGAACATTTATACCGAGATTTATACATTACAGCGAGACACCAACACCGTTTCGGCTTTAATATGTGGGTTGCAATATTTGGTACACGAATTATTGCTCGTTCTATTTACCATGAAACACAGACTTCCGAACGTTATAGAAATTCGCTTGAGAATCATCTTGAGGAAGCTCTGGATGATTTACTGATTGCGGAAGTTCAGAACTGATGGCGCTCCGGTACAAAATTCCAGAGAAGTCGGTGAGTTTTTATCCCTTGGCCGGCGCGGTCGCCTGATTTGACACAGCTGGATTTTTTCTTAGGGGATATATCGAACTTTGTACACGCAAATAACTTTGATGATGAAGAAGAACTAAAAGGGACAGTGTCTTCGAAGCATTCAATAAAATAACCCCAGAAATGCATAGCAACTGTTAGAAGACCATATCCTTGTTCAGAAAATAACGGTCACCATTTTGAACATTTGTTATGAATGTCTCTGTAGGTATTGTCAAAGTTAAGTTGTTAAAGTAATTCGTGTAAGAATTCATCAACAATTTTAAACGCTGCATTGATCGAATGATGTAGTGAAATATTTTCTATTCACTTTTCAGTATTGAATAACTGATCCATCAAGTTTGACACTAAATGATCAGAAATAAGTGGAACTGATGGCTTTTTTCCTTTGGAAGTTCGAAGAAACATTGATGATGGATAGAAATAGGTCGAAACACATTTGAATCACCTTGTATAATACATGGTTGAATTCAAAATGGAAAAACCTTCCAGAATCTGTGGAAAAATTATCAGGACCGTATTTAAAAAACAAAAGTTGATGATGGTTCTACGAATACGAAACGTCGCATAAAAAAATCGGTATCACCACGTTGAGCGTCATCAAAAGTTGCTATGAAAAAGTAGTTTCAGTTTTTCTGTATCTCTGATAATAACGGAGAAAAAAAATAAAAAAGAAATTCCAAAAATTCCCTTTTTTCGATATAACTCAAAAACTAAAAATAATTTTCAAAATTTTCGAAGGCTCTTGATATGAGCCTCCAAATACGCAACTTTTTCCCCATTTAACCGACTTCGTATCTCCTACCGTTTCCGAGATCCCCATGCTGTTCAACCTTATCTTGGACAGACTGTATATCTGTTTTATGATGATGATAATTTTTAATGGAATATTCCTATTTGAAAGTTGACTGCAAATAAATTCCGTACACACATATCATTTCGATAAAGGTGTAGTAGGTCAGTTGGAATGAGTTCGATTTGTAAACCAAGTGATAACGGTGGACCGGAGTTCGAATCCCGTGGCGGTCGTCTTCCTATTGGCACTGGCCCAACAATGTTCACAGAAATTTTGCCGTTCTGGCTAATTCTGGCCAGCATATTATGGGTCAGCATAGGGCCGACCAAATTTGTTTTTTGCTTAGGATGCCATACGACACGTTTGATCGTGTGTGGTTATATGTATTCAGTAATACCTTAGCATGTCAAACCATTTTAAAGCTGATAACCATTATAGAGCTCAGCGCTCTAATAGCTGCTTGAATATGGGGAATCATTAATTTCTTTATTTGATTCAAGTAATGATGTTTCGTCTAATGTCTTTTTTCTAGATTGAGCTGTATATATTTCCCTAGTCAGTCATATCGTTTAAGACTTGATCAAAGCGACGTCATCTGCAAAACCCAATTGTTTAGATACTCTATATAGGCTCAAAGTACTGCTCTACCTGTCATCTCAGGACTTCTTTGGCGCGTCGAACTATACCAAATTGACACGAGACTCCTTCTTTGGATTCACTGTTCCATTCTTTTCAGATCCTTTTCAGATCCCCATAATTCGAAATGGAACTATTTTTTTTTCAGCAATTAGAAGGAGAACACATCCAAGAAATAAACAACATTAATGCCCAAATCAACAAAACCAAAGCTGAACACGAGATATTCGTCCAGAAGCTAGAAGCGAGTTACAATGAAAAACTGATCACCGAATACAAAAAATTCATCGCATTCGAAAACAAAATGGAACAGATGCTCAAAGAAGCCGACATCCGCTATGAACAGTTGAAGAGAGACAAGGAAGAATCAGAGAAAGCTTTGAAGGACGATTTCATGGCGCAGCTACAGGAAGAGAAGTTTCAGTATCAAGAGGTGAGAATTGAAAACTAAAAGCAAACGTTTGCAATGTAACATCTATATTTTCCACTACCTTATCTACTAGGAAACTGAATTTTTCACCCCTGAAGATGGTTGGAAGATTGTACTTTTCCTCTACCCGGAAGGAAAAGATTTTCCTCCCTGAGAACAATGATTTTCCTCCTTCTTAGTTTTTCAATACTTCAATAAAAGCAAGAGTTTCTGTTACCATGCCTTTAAGAAACAGATTAATGAAAATACTTTAAGGTGGCATGTTCAAAATATTTTTCACTCCATGCTCTTATAACCATTTTTTGAACAACACTTTATCCCTTTTCAAACCGCTGTCTCACTTTATCAGTAAGAAGATACCCTGAAATCAATGTTTCATTCCTCAGAGAGATTTTTTGACAGGTCGTTTTTGGTGAAACTCATTTTCAAAACTTATACAGTGTGTCTAACTTCTAATGGAAACACCCCTGTATCTTACGTAATCGTTTGTTAAGGATCCTGAAATTTGTTGAAGCGCGAGATATACCAAAAATGTACTGTATGACCAAGTGGGGTCATCATCAGTGATTTACACTGCTCGCCAACAGCCATGGAACCACTCCAATTTCCGGAAAATGATATTAAAAGTCAAAATAGGTTGAAAATCACTTCGGATTCGGAATCAGGACGCCCAATTCACTAACTATTCATATTTTCTCTATTCTCACTTCTCATGGAAACACCCCCGTAGTAATAGGAAGAAAATCGATACCAATGATAATGCGTCAAAGTATGGAAGTTAGTGAACGTGGACGTCCTGTTTTCGAATCCGAAGTGATTTTTAACCTATCTCTTGATATTATTTTAGGACCATGTGTGTAGTTCCACCTTGTTGGCAAGCAGTGTATATGTATACTGAAGATGATCATACTTGGTCTTATAGTACATTTTTGGTATATCTCTCGCTGCAGCAAATTTCAGGATCCTGAACCAACGATTACGTAATAATTGGGGGTGTCTCCATGAAAAGTGAGATGAAAATGAAATTTTCAGAACTGAAAAATTTCCACGGAAAATATAGATATAGTGAATTGGGCGTCCTGATTCCGAATCCGGAGTGATTTCCAACCTATTTCGACTTCTAATATAATTTTCCGGAAATCGGGGTGGTTCCATGGCTGTTGGCGAGCAGTGTATATCACTGAAGATGGCACAAACACACAAATACAGAAGGAAAATTATTGATGCAATCGATTAACTGTCAAACTCATAAAACAGTTTGTGTAGGTACACCGCCTACTAAGTGAAATAATTATGAAAAAATAGATAATCCTGTGGATCATCGTATAAGAGGAACAATTTTAGTTTTATTATTCCAAATGAGAAGATCATGTGATAGGTACATGGCGAAAATGAAAGACAGATAGTTTCTGTATGAGTAGCTGAATTCGACAAAATATGTTCCTATCTTAGATTCCTCAATATCATGAGTTATTTTCGAAGGTTTTCATTTTGACTCAAACAAGCAATCGACAACCTGCAGACATTGATCAGAATATCAAAACATTCTGAATAATATCGGTTTACTAATGATCTTTAAATTTCAAAGCCTACCAAGTGTCGATATATCAACGAATTCATGTCACAGTCATCTTATTCTTTTTGAATAAAAAGCAATTCAACAGCGAATTAAGAGATAAATACCCCTTTGTGATACATGGTTGGATAGAAAATTTCAAGGCGAAAGAGAAAGACTGAAGAGATGTACAGGTTGACATTTAAAAAAAAAAGTTGGGTTCACTTCCGGTCAAACAAGTGGTTGAAAAAAATTGTCGTTAACTTCCTAAAGTGCGCTACCATTCATTATATACCCCCTGTGAATTTCAAAATTTTATCTCTTCAAATAAAAAAACTACAGGCTACTACATGTCTCCTGTATAGGGCGAATTATGAGATTTGGCGAAAACATCTTTTGGTAATAACTTTCTAACAACTCCTTCGATTCGTCTGATTTTTTTCATGGAATATCCCGCTATTACTCTCTGATCGACTGACTTATTCAGAATCGGGAAAATCCAGGACAGTTCTTGAAAAATGTTGATAGTTTAGTTTATAGAAAAAAGTTCATCCTGTATATCGTTTCTGTCAACTGTGACAAGGAATTTTCAAGGGTCACAAACAAACATCAAAAATGAAATATTCCAAATTTTCTTCACACTTTCACTGCAGTTTGAAAAAAACTATGAATTTTATGAAAAAACGAACATTTGGCAACAATTTCATTCATTTGGACATCAATACTTCGCAACCCATAAACTTTACGAATAAAAGTGAGACTCACATTTTCAATGCTTCTTCATCTCGATGAGGATCAACATATCATTTTATTTTCAGGCCTGGATTTCCTAAATAAATTTTTTGTGGAGGAAAATATCGAATCAGTGGAAAATGTTGAGAAAATGTTGATGGCCATCGCTATAAATGATTTCATGATTTCAATTCACAGTTTTATCTATTCGATTTGCTTTATTCAGGTAATTTGGTCACTTATTTTCCTTACAAGAATTATTATCCGCCTTTGTCAGTATAGCTTTTGAAAAATAATTGTGAGTGAACCATTATTTTCTGTTCGACTATCTTGAATTATTTGAATCGATGACCATTAACATCTCAACAGATACCCCATCCACTGATTTGAAAAAGATATTCAGGGTGATTATTACAGTCCACTAAAAATGAAATGACGAAATCCATGCCTGGAAATGAAAGAACATGTTGATTTTCATTGGGCTAAAGCATTGAAAATGCGAGTCTTATTTTAATTTGTTATGCGTTGCGAAGTAATTATGTTCGAATGAATGAAATTTGTTATCAAACTTTCGTTTCTGTTTATGATTTATAGTTTTTCGAAAAATTCTGTGAAAGTGTGAGGAGAATGTAGAATATTTTATTTTTGATGCTTGTTTGTGTGCTTTGAAAATTCCCTGTCACAGTTTACAAAAACTTTATACAGGATGAACTTTTTATTAAAAACTAAACTATCGAAATTTTTCAAAAACGGTCTCAGAAGTTCCCAATTCTGAATAGGTCAGTCGATTAGGGTCTACTAGAGGAATATTCCATGAAAAAATCAGACGAATCGAAGGAACTGTTGAAAAGTTATGACCAAACGATGTTTTTTTGCCAAATCTCATAATTATTCACCCTGTAACACCACTTCGAGTTGTGTAGTGGACAGAACGCTCTGTACCAGAAACATTATTATTATTATTTATTTATTGAAAATGTTACTTCCAGTCAGAATCAAGTTCTGGTATAAGGAAGTATAGTTAACAATAATACCTAAAACTATACAATTATAATAAACTGATGAATAATAAAATATTTGAGAACATTAATTATTAAATTTTGACAAATCATTTCATATTGGTGAGCAAAAATCAATTTGAATATGAATCAAAAGTTGAAAAAAAAAAAACAAAAAGGTCATCTATTTCGTTCAGAAATGATAAATTTTTCAAGATGGTATTTGAATTTTATTGTATTTCTGCAATTTTTTATATTATCTGGTAATTTGTTATATTCCATGAGAGCAGCGTGGGTGAATCTTTTTTGGCCTATAGAAGTATTAGCGATATCAAGATGAAATAAACCATGTTGTCTAGTTTGATAATTATGAATTTCATTGTTTCGTGTTAAAATAAAATTAGATTTCAATCTTTTATTTATGATATTGTATGTAATTTTCAGTCTTTCGATTTTGAACATTTCTTCTAATGAGAATGATTCAGTTATTTTATATAATTGATTTGTTGGTGTATCATATGGTAAACGATACAGTACTTTCAATGTCTTTTTATATAATGCAGATATTTTATTAAAATTGTTTTTTGAACAGTATCCCCAAACATTTATCAAATACTTAATACGACTGAGTATATGAGAATATAGAATTATATTTGCAACTTTTTTATTCAGCTTGGGACATCTTCTCAGGGCTCCAATAATAGGAGATATTTTTTTCTTCAAAACATTTATATGTTTGTCCCACTTCAATTTATCATCAAACCAAATCCCAAGATACTTTTTCTCATTAGTTCGTTTCAAAGATTCATTTTCAATTCTGAGATTTAAATTTATATTTTGTTTATTTTTTTGTTGAAAAATCATATATTCAGTTTTATCAGTATTTATTGATAAGAGGTTTGAATGCAGCCAATTTTCAAATTTCATCTAGTCTCTGTTTATTATATTTCCTAAAATGATAGGATTTTTATTTTCATATAAAAGTACCGTATCGTCTGCATAAATAGTGTAATTACATTCTGTATCAATTTTCGTGATATTTTGAATATATAATAAATATAAAATTGGTCCAAAAACAGATCCTTGAGGGACACCTTTAGTCATCGGTAGTCTATGAGACTCTGGGTTGGTAGATTTGGTACTGATTGTCCTATTTTGAAGATACGAATCTAAAAGGTTCCTTATCATGCCTCTGAGTCCCATTGATTCTAAATTTTTCAAAAGTGTTATGTGGTCTACTGTATCGAAAGCTTTCTTGAGATCAACAAAAATTGCTATCACATAATTTCCGGTATCAAGTCCTTTTTGTATTGCTTGTATTACTTGTAATATTGCCGCTTGTGTGCCACTATTTTCTTGAAAACCAAATTGATTTAATGATAATAATAATCATTCTGACAGCGAGAGAGTGACAGTAGTATAAAATATAATATAGTTGTCAATATATTATGTCTTGTGAAAGAGTTTGCAGCCCATTATTTCCTTCCCACACCGTAGTAACCATTCGTTTGCGATATTCATCAGAATTCTAGTGGAACAATTCCTCAGAACCCGTTGCACCACCACCACCTCGCAACAAATTGGCGCCCAACGTGGGGCTACAAACTCTTTCACCAAGACATTGTGTACTGACAACAAATATATTATATTTTAATCTACTCTCACTCACTGTCAGAATGATTCTCATCAGTTATGTTCCTGATACAGAGCGTTCTGTCCACTGCACAACTCAAAGTGGTGTTACAACCCCTCAAGGGCCTCCCAGGTAGCACAGGTTAGTGGAATGACGTCATAATGACGTCTTTTTTAGGTCATTATTGGTCAATGACGTCCTCGACTTCAGAGGGACCTAGAAATGACGTCATATTTCATGACGTCTTATTGACGTTCAATATTGGACGTCTTAATGACGTCCCCACAAAGTCGTATATTCGACCAAATAAGAAAAACCAGTCGCTTTCTTACTTTTTCATCGTTTGTTAATTGTAGTAAATTTGTGTTTTTATATACAGTGTTTTCGTGAGTACTGATGAACAAATTTATTTTCAGTCAAATTATGCATTTTTGAGGAATCTGCTGAAAACGGTCGATTTTCATTTTCAATTTGCCATATATTTATGAGAAAAATTGAATATACATACATGGTGATCCACGTTTGAGTTATGACCATAACGACAATTTTTTTAAATAGAGGGCACCTTATATATATTACTCAATCTTTGGAATAACCGTGGGAAGCGGAATTCGAAAATGTTTAACACAATCATGTGGATTGTATAGGTAAGTGCGTCCAATAAATTAGAGGCTTTCGTGAAGTAGTGGATAAATTCATTGTTATCCAATATCTATCTATCTTATATATTTCTGAGAAAACAGGAGAGGCTTTTATTTCTAATTCGACATTTATACGGAGGAATCATCGAATATACAGGATGATACACGTTTGTATTATGACGTACAAGACACATTTTTCAAACGGATATATATTATTGAATTTTCGTAATCAAATGTATATCACACAAAGGGTTTGTATACAGGGCATTCGTTAAATTCAGTTCTCTCGTAAAATTGGATCGCCATTAAAATATAAAGATGAATCACGAATCATTCTGTATATATTGATTCAATATGAAATGAAGCTTGAAAGGAAATATAATTCTACTGCTTCGAGCATTATTCTCTGAATTTTTTTTTTTTTAATTTTCAACAAATTTATTCGCAACTTCGCAAAAGAACTTAATTCAACGAACGCACTGTATACAAACTCATAAATTTTTGAATCCAGCTTTCCATAGAGACTCCAAAAATCGAATAATTCATAGGGTGTTCCTTTGAAAAAATGGTCGCGGATGTTGTATAACTCAAACTTGAATCACCCTGTATATTCAATTTTTTTTCAATAATGTTGGTAATTTAAAATAAAAATCGACCTATTTTGGGTGATTATTTACTTCACGCGAGATGACTCAATTTAACGGACACACTGTATACAAATCCTATGTGTAATATATTTTTAAATTCAGGTTTCCATGAATATTTCAAAAATTGAATGTATCTTATATAGGTTATTATTGTTTCCAATTGAAAAAATTGCCGCGGACGTCTTAACTTAAACGTGGATCACCCTGTACATATATGATTTTCACTTTCAAATGTGGCAAATCGGAAATAAAATCGACCTGTTGCAGAGGCTTTCTGAGAAATGGATAGTTTAGCTGAAAATAAGTTTATTCAGCTTACATCTCGCCGACTCTCGCTACATAATTTTAGGTACAAATACGATTAGCTAACGATCGATATTGTCATATAGAGATTCATAGGTAGTAGCGATAGCGATTCAACAGGACTGCCCGGGAGGACCATCAACCAAGTTACCACAACGTATAGTTACAAAATGAATGTAATCTAAGGTTTGTATTATCATGTACGAATAATACGGTATATATTTAAACCTCCCAATTTTTTTTTATTTCGTCCTTTATTGGTCATTCTGCGACGTCATTATGACGTCTTAGTATGACGTCATATAGCTGTGACATTTTGACGTCATTATAGGGTCTCTCAGACGTCATTTTTGGACGTCCACTTCGTCATTTTATGACCAAAAAATGACGTCAATTGGACGTCACTCTGCTACCTGGGCTCTATTCGCGGTAGGAGCATGTACAGTTCCTCATGACTCACCCTGTATAATTAGCTATTTGATCGTATAGTTACTCGAAACATCTCAACATCATGCGAAAGAAAACGAGCTCATCAAACAGCAAATCGAAGACGATGCCGATAGAGAGATATACGAATTGAAGGAGAACCACGAAAAAGAACTCAAAGAAGAGCAAGATCTCAACGTGCGCTTGCGCGGAGAAGCCGCAGTCGTCAAAAAGAAATATCTCGCCATGCAAAAGGAATGCGAGGACCTCAAACACAAAGTTTTCTCCATGGAGAACGAGCACATCAAGTTCAAGAGCATGATCTACGGCTTGGAGAAGGACATAATGGATTCGAAGAAGGAGATCCAAGAGAGAGACCAAACCATCGAGGAGAAGGAGAAGAGGATATTCCAATTGAAGAGCAAGAATCAGGAGTTGGAGAAGTTCAAGTTCATTTTGGACTTTAAGATTAAGGAGCTGAAGTCGCAAATAGAACCGAAAGAAAGAACGATTCAAGAACAGGTGAGTTCAATTATCTGACTCTGACCACCAAAATAATTCAACTTTTTGTCTAATCACGCACGTAGAAAAGTGCGTTCGATACTTATTTTCTCAGTTATTTTTACTCGTAGATTCGAGTATAGATTTCAGAAAGGAAGCAGAACCGTCAACATGTTTACTTCGTCCACTCATCTCTTGAATCCACGACAAAAAATGTAATTATATAACTTTTTGACGTAGCTACTCGTGAACTGTGATGAATATTTGATATTTCGATTTCAAATCATGAAGTTGCCTATATCTCTCCTACAGCCCAAATATACTATAACCACTGATTGGTGAGGAAGCGGCTCGATCGAGGGCTTGATTGTCAGGGACGGATTCAGTCGATATCCAGTCTCAGTAAGGAAAAGGTTCCAAACAGTGTTAATCGTAATAGACTGTTGGCCCGCGACACAGGGTTTATCGATGTTCTAAGTCGGTATGCCATTTAAGGGACCCACTCACTCAGTCCGAGTTAACAATAAGAAGTGCCTCGGAGAGTCGCAACCCAGTCCTTGCTCCGGCCCTGACCTCACCTTTCGGTTGGAAAAAAGTTCAAAATTTTGTTTAAGAAGAAGCTCGGCAATGAAGTGAAATGATCTTATCTCACGAAAATTGGGGCGCTTGCCGGTTTGCATACGCCGAGGTCACTCCCCAAGGGCGGCATACGAACCGGAAGTGGCAATTTCTCAGTGTTATAGTCGATGATCGAAGAATGTATGCCCTTTAGCGAAACAATGAATTGGGGCCCATTAATCAATTTCCCGACATTTGCATACGATTCCGGAGAGGGGAGCTCGACTTATTCGAACATCATTTGACTGGATATTCTTCAAATAATCGATAATCGAAGAAATGTTCAAATTTTGACCATGGTTACTGAACCACTCAGTATATATGAGATGATGGTTTGCATACAATTTGCACATTCCGTACAGGGTGTTTCACCATAAGTATCTCCCATTGTAACTTAGTTGTTTCTGAACCGATTTTAAAATTTCAAAAACCAATTAAAATGATTTTCCTAAGACATTTTTCATTGTTATCAAGAAATTCCCAGGATGTTCATAACAAATGAACTATTGGGTAGTTGTTGATTTTTTTTTTCACTGGAACACTATATTTTAACTCACTATCGAGTTGAGATTATCATGACGAATACAGATCTACAGCATCTAGCGATATCATTTACACGCAGCACTCTTATAGCGATCATGCGCCAAATTGTCAAATTGTGCCAGAAATATGAATCCCGGGTTTGAAGTATTTCCTTTTTTTTTTGCTGAAACAATTTTCATATCTGAACAATGATTTGCTGCGGTAGCCGGGTAGAGTGTAGCACGTAATGATTTAGTAGGCATTCAATAATGTTTTTTCCTTTTGTAGAAGATCCGATATTTAGATATCTCAAAAACCATTTACTTTTGTATAATGTATATTAAAGATTTATTCACTTCTTACTACCTCCCCTACCAGTGGTACGAATCGGATTACCAGTAACCCTGTATATAAGTGCAGCGTGTGAATCTTATCGCTAAACGCCAGTCAACTATTCTGGGTTTGATGAAGTTATTTCATTGTCAGTTACATAAAAAATAATGAAGGGGGCTGGGCCCTTGATACTTTTTTTGGGTACGATTTCAATTGGTACCTTGGTGAAGCTCTTCAAGCAGAGTTGGTGATATCATAATCTCTGAGAGTTCAACAGAAAGTATCAGGTATATCTTTCGATCATGCCAAGATTTTTCAATAATTGAATATCCTTACTAACAGGTACTGATAACAACTCTGGGGAATCATCTTCAGACAGCGAGAGCGAAGATGACTCTGAAGATAATGATAGAGAGGACGACGTATAATTTTTCCTTTGAAATATAATGTTGTTTTCATTTAATATAATTTCATTTTCAAATAATTTTTTTTCCGTGAAAAACAAAAATGTAGATTAAAGTTCAGGATACAGACCCCATATTATACCCAAAACATTCAACAAATTAAATGTACATTCTTTATATATTTTTCAGTCGCCAGTATTATGATAAGCAGTCCCATGAGCCCCAGGAAGAATTTCAATTCGATTTATTGTGAGTTTCGATCATGAGCAATAATCCACCCCTCTTCTCCCTGTACGATCCCTCTTGATCATCTTGTGAGTATCTTGTTGTCAATTTCTTTTATCATGCATCTTTTCAAAGCTCTGTTTTCCAAATTAAAATCATACAAAAAAATTTCTTGGTACTAAACCTCTCACACATGTAATTTTGTTGAGCTGTAAATTTCTGATGAATAAATACAAATATATCTGCAATTTGCGTCTTCGAATATCCCCATCACTCTCAGGAAGTTAATCTTTGACCCAGTTTCATGTGAAGTGAGACTTCTCGATTATCTAGTTCGCTTTCGGTGCACCTCTGGCCTGCATTGCGGGGCGCCGCGCCGGACCGAGGCACGCACGGGTTTGCCCGATTATAACAACGTATGCTCACATTGAATTCGTATGCAAATAGCATCCAGTTATAAAGAATATCCTAGTTTATCGGTCTAGAGATTTGCATACGAACTTAAATCATCGATTATTTGAAAGATGTCTAATCAATTGGTGTTCGAATAAGTCGAGCTCCCCTCTCCGGAATTATATGCAAATGTCGGGAAACTGATTAATGGGTCAGAATTCATTGTTTCGCCAAACGGCATACATTCTTTGATCATCGACTATAACACTGAGAAATTGCCACTTCCGGTTCGTACGCCGCCCTTGGGGAGTGACCTAGGCGTATGCAAACCAGCAAGCGCCCCAATTTTCGTGAGATAAGATCATTGCATTTCATTGCCGAGCTTCTTCTTGAACAAAATTTTGAAGTTTTTTCCAACCGAAAGGTGAGGTCAGGGCCAGGGCAAGGACTGGGTTGCGACTCTTAGAGGCACTCCTTCCAGTTAACTCGGACTAAGTGAGTGGGTTCCTTAAATGGCATACCGACTTAGAACATCGATGAACCCTGTGTCACGGGCCAACAGTCTATAAGGAATAGATCCAAGATTGTTCAACTATACCCATGATTCATACTTCGAAGAAAAATACACCAAAGCCCAATTACTTGAGGTTTTGAATGTCAAAGAGTTCAAGAAACTACTTATATGTTATAGACGAAATCGCCAAACAAAATTATCATACGGTTCTTATAGATTGCCCACATATTTTTGTATTTTCAATCCTATAGAATCAATTTAGGTTAGGTTAGGTTAGGTTGAACGTGAGTGGGCCTATTGTCAGGCCCTCCACTGCGGCCATTGGCCTATTGTGGCTCACCCTAGGGTTATATTTCTCCCTGTATATCCAATTTCTTAACGAAATTGAGGATTGCGTTGGGAGAACAATTTACCAGGTTTTCTGGCCTTACTATTGTATTGCCGAATATTGAAAATCTGGTTCTGGCCGCTGCGGGGCATGTACACAGGATGTGTTTCGCCGTTTCATCCTCCTCCATACATAGGCGGCACTCTGCATCTTGTGCAAGTCCGATTTTGTGCATGTGGTATTTGAGTTTGCAGTGGCCAGTGAGCAACCCTACTATAACTCTGAGATCTGCTCTGCTGAGTTCTAGTAGTTTGTCAGTGTCCTGTTTGTTCCTTGTACCAGCAATAAATGCTTTGGAATGGGCTAGGCCCGGTAGACTGCGCCAATACTCGAGTCTTTTCTTATCTGCCCAGGATGTTATAGCATTCTTGGCAGTGCTATATGCTATACCGATGATCGGTTCTGGCCCAGTGAACGGTGTTTCGGCCCCCCCTTTTGCTAGGGCGTCCGCTATTTCGTTTCCTACTAGGCCCGTGTGACCTGGTATCCAAACTAGGTTCACGTTGTTACGTTCTGCTAGTTGGTTCAAGGTTTCTCTGCAGTTCCATACTGCTCTAGATTTAAAGCAGTTGGATTCAAGCGCTTTCAGTGCTGCTTGACTATCTGAAAATATTTTTATTGTTTTCCGTGTGTGGTGTCGATTTTCCAACTCCCTTGCACACATTTCAATGGCATGTACCTCTGCCTGGAATATCGTAGCTAATTTGCCCATGCTGAATGAGCGTTTCACTACTGGGTTCATCCCGTATATTCCGGCTCCGACGCCTTCCAAAGTTTTAGAACCATCGGTGAACCAACATTCATTAGCCCTACATAGGTCAGTTTCGTTCCGAGCCCAGTCTTCTCTTTCAGGGAAGACCACCGTGTAGGATTTGTGAAGGTTGATAGTTTTAGGCATGATGTCTGAGGGCATTCCCAGAATGTTGTGAGCTATTATGCCCTCCAGCATGCTGCTGCCTCTCATGACTATTGCCTGCGGTTGACTAGTGGCCGCTTGGTGAAGTCTGTATGTTGCCCATCTTGCTTCTCTCTCCAGAACTATGTGAAGAGGAAGTAGTCCAAGAAGGGCTTCCATTGCTGCTGTTGGCGTGGAGCAAATGGCCCCCGTAATCGCCAGGCACGCTTGTCTCTGTAGTTCATTGAGTTTGGCCTGGGCCATTTTCTGTTGGCCTTTGCCCCACCAGACTACAGAGCCGTACGTGATCATAGGTCGTATGACGGTCACGTACAGCCAGTATACTTGTTTTGGTGACATGCCCCATGTTTTGCCACATATTCTGCGGCATGTCCATAGTGATAGGCTAGCCTTTCGGATAGTCTTTTCCAGGTGCGAGTTCCAATTTAGCTTTTTATCAAGGGTTAGTCCAAGATATTTTGCTTCACTCGCAAAAGGAATTGTTACACCATTAATGGAAGGAGGTCTTAGATGTTCCAGCTTCCTTTTTCTGGTGAACGGTACTATGACCATTTTGTGGGGGTTAATGGACATTTCCTCCCTCTCACACCATTTATATATGGTATCTAGTATATCCTGAAGGACGTAGGAGATCGTCTCTTCGGATTTGTCTCGTATTACTAGGACCAGATCGTCAGCATATGCTTGCAGATCGACCTCCCATATCGAGAGAATGGCCAGCAAATCATCCACCAGCAGTGACCACAGCAGAGGGGAGAGGACTCCCCCCTGCGGGCAGCCCCTGGCTGGCTTGAAGCTGACACTTTCCCCCTGTAGGGAGGTCGTTATGGTTCTGCTATGAAGCATAGTTCTTATCCAGTCACATAGTATTGGTTCAATTCCCCTGGAGGCAGTAGCCTCATAGAGGGAATGAGGTAGTGCATTGTTGAATGCTCCTTCTATGTCCAGGAATGCTGCGACTGCTATCTCCTGTTGTTCCAGGGCGTCGTTTATTCCTGAGACCAGGTTATTGAGGGCAAGTTCTGTTGATTTGCCAGCTTGGTAGGCATACTGGTGAACATTAAGGGGGTGTTTTGTTAGTACACCGCACCTCATAGAATCAATTTAGAGACAAATGAAGAAAATGATCGGTAGAAATAATATATTCCCAAATTTCGATCCTAAATTTAGAATTGACTCGGCCGATACTTGATGAAAATCCATGGCAAATGTAAAAACTTCACAAACGATTTCCACAAAATTCTCAAACACACGACATGTTCCGCTAACACAGTAGCTTCGTCAGGTGATATACTGGTTAAATGAACTAAACTCACGTTGGCTTGCTCAACTTTTATATATCCTACTTTCCCAACCTGAAGGATTAGTTACCTGTGGACAGGATCGACAAACCTCCATTTCCGGAAATTAGCCACAATATCTACATTAAAATACGGTAAACCGGATTAACGTGAAAGAGTTGATAGCAAATACATATTATTACTTACTAAGAAAACAAATTCAACAGTGGCGAACTATTGAGGTCTAATTGATCATCAAGTAAAATGTCAAAATTTTTGAGTTTATTGATTTCTACTGATTCAAAATGATTGAGTTTCAGTCCTTTATTTTCTACGTGTAGAATTTCGAAATTATCATCAGAACTATGGTTTTCTTCGAATATGTGTTGATCACAGAATACTGCTGGAAAAACTACATTATTATGGATTCAGAGGAGTTGCTCTCAAATGGTTTGAATCATACCTTCTTGAAAGGAAACAAACCGTTAAAATTTCTAACGAAACTTCTGGCTTCTCACATGTCAAATCAGGAGTTCCTCAAGGATCAGTGCTTGGCCCAGTTCTATTCCTATTATACCTAAATGATCTAACAAGCTTACCAATAAAGGGAAAATTCACTCTATTTGCTGACGATACTACCCTCCTTTGGCATGGAAAAAATGTAGAAAACCTACAATTAGTTGTAGCCCAGGAACTCGACGAAGTCAAATCTTGGTGCGATTCAAACTCTCTATGCTTCAATGTGGAGAAAACAAATATTATCACTTTCAAATTTGAGTTTGAAAATCTGACATTGGGTACACACCAAGTTGAAAACAGAACAAGTTCTAAATTCCTAGGTATACATATTGACAGAAAATTAGGGTTTGAAGAACATGTAACGTCACTAAAAAACAGATTAGCATCAGGTTGCTATGCCATTAGAGTTGTATCAAATGAGCTTGGTCCTGCTATTGCCAGAAACACGTATTTTCCTCTCATAGAGTCTCATATCAGGTACGGCATAGCCTTCTGGGGTTTTTGTAGCCAAAATTTGTTGAATTCTGTCTTCATTCTACAGAAGAGAGCGATTCGCTATTTGTGTCGGGCTAAAGCAAGGGACCATTGTAGACCACTTTTTATCAGTCAACAAATTCTCACTCTCACCTGCCTCTTTATTGTGGAAACAGTCTGTTTGATCCACACCAGACACCATTCATCGAACAAAAATCCGGTGAATCATATTATGTCCACTAGAAATAACAGTCACCTGTCTCTGCCGATACCGAAGATGACTCGAACAAAAAATTCCATTATATATGAGAGCAAAAAAATCTACAATCACTTGTCAGAACAATTCAAAGGAACTGGCTGCATAAAAAAATTCAGAAAGGAGGTTAAAAAATTCCTTATTCAAAAAGCGTACTATGACCTGCAGGAATATTACAACGAAAAGTTTCGAAGTCATGTATAATTTATTTCTATAATTTATTTCTTGATTTTTTTACTATTATACTTCTACTAGGTACCTATCTGGCGTTCTATGTGACATAAATGTTATGCTTTTAGGGCTTTTTTGTAGTTGTTTGATACCTTTGTATTTGTGTTATTTATTAATTATATTTTATGTTCATATCTTTTATATCTTTGTACAAATAATTGGACATAGTGGATCTATCCACTTGCTAGTTTCACGCATTCAATAGGAAAAATGTTTCTTGGACAATAAAGCTCAGTTTTGATTTGATTTGATGGTTGACGTATGTTGAATTCGTTTTCTTTTTCATGAAATTCATCTTATGTTCATGAATGCGCTGATTAAACGTACTACCTGTCTGACCGATATATACCTTAGGACCCTGAAGTTATACCTCAAATAACCACATAAGTGGAAATTGTCAGTGCTGCCGAACTAGGATTTTGTTTTGGAGTGTTTCTTTCCTTGCCAGGTGGCGTTCGGCGTTCGCGTTCATTTCGCAGACGTTGAACGCCTCGTGGTGTATAAATGCTGAGATGCGTTTACGTTAGTTCAGGTTCGCACCAGATAGCGGTCAAGAAACTATGTACTGATGAGAACCAACAGCTCGAAACTGGTCTGCAGGTGTCACGCGTTCCTGAACCACTTAGGCGCAGTTCGGCGTTTAGGAAGGAAACATTTGCGATTTTATTCGTCTATAGAAATTATTGCGTAGATTTCGGGAGGATGTGATCCAATTTTCTGCGTGGCATATAGCCAGGAAAGTAGTTGTTTTTCTCTCGTTATCTTTCATTTTCGATCATTCTATGAACTATTGTGGTAATGACTTCGAGTTCCTCTCTATCTGTGATTAATATAAATGATTGTCTAGAGCAAAATTCACTACGTGATTCAGAGAAGCTGATGAACGTTTTGAAAGTTATGTACCTAGTCTGGCCGGTTGAATGCCTGAAAAATCACCAACAAAGAAGAAACCGACCAAGGAAACTATAACTGTGCAAGTGTTATGCTGATTTTTATTCGCAGGTAACCCAAATCAACGAGATGGTCAGAGAATTAGAGAATCTGCAAAAAGTCATTCTCAGCCTGGATCTACAGTTGGCGGAGCTGAGGGAAAAACTGACGGCATCGAACAATGAAGTGAAACACGAGGTTGAAAAGAACAGGAGGATGAAGAAGGCGTTGCAAGCTATAAGGATAGACATCCATCATGCCAGCGGTTTCACACAGAATGTTGCAATGTTGCAGAAAGCTGTCAGGGTGAGTATTTATGATGATATGATAGATCCCTAATAACACACTTATGTCCAATGGATATTCTGAAGACGTCCTTTCGGGACATTCAGGACGTCCATAGGAGGTTAGAATTTGGTACCGTGGACGTCCATTGGACGTCTGTGGGACGCACAAATGTCCCACTTGAGGACCTACTAGGGACGTCCTTGAGGGACGTCCCTGGGACAACTATCGAATATCTAAATCCTACAGTATTCCTCATCAAGCACTACAGAGGACGTCCTAAGGACATCCATAGGACAACCTATCAGCAACGCTGAGGGATATCAATTGGATGTCCATAGGATGTCCATAGGATGTCCCAGGGACGTACGAATTATTCTTGAATTTGAATTTGTCTGGGCCCTTTTAGGACCAGATCTTGCATAACTGATTAGGACATCCAGTTGAGTTGATGGTTCGTAGAAGGTCCCCAAAAAGTTTCCCAAGAATGTCCAATGGACTAACGTGAAGGACATTGACGAGGAGTACTTATAGCCTACGAGCAATCATTCGTCAGCGAGGTGTAAGTTAACGTCCTCGCAGGGACAACATATTGAAAGTACCGACTGGGACGTCCATAGGACGTTTTTTCTAGGACATTGGAAGAGTACAGTTTATGTACCAATTGGGACATCCGACGGATATTCGAAGGACGTCCCTAAGGGACATTTCGATTGTTATACGATCCTGGAAATATTAAGGGCGCCTGTGCAGAGATATTTGGAGGAATGTACCATCAGGGTCATTTCATGGTTGTCTAGAAGGGACATTTTATAAGATCTGAAATCATGCCAGTATATGTTCTACCCGGGACATCCGATGGATTTCCCTAACGGAACGTTTAAAATCATATCCCATCAGGGACATGCCAAGGACGTCCTTGCATGGGCATTTTACAATATGTACCACGTGGGACGTCTAAGGGATGCCATTTCTAGGACATTTGAAATGATGTACCAGCTGGGACATTCCGTGGACGTCCTTGCTCGGACATTGCATGAGATGTACGGGATGGGACGTCCCAAGGACACTTATTTTTGGTTCGGGACATTGGGACGTGAATTGTACCAAATAGGGACGTCCCTAGGACATTGTGTGCTACTAGGGATATGGTTATGGACATTTTTCATAATGCAGAAATGGATTTAATTGAAATGGAACTTTTTTATAATCAATCGGATGCTTTCATTCCAATTGATTATTCGATAATGAACTCATCAAATCAAATAATTTTGATTCGAAAATCAGCGCCATCGTTACAAATCGTGAAGAACACTAGAGTTTCGTTCAAATATAGTATGATTGTATTGTACAAATACGAATAAAAAAAATTAGACACATCATTAATTTATCTTGGACCCCTTTTATAACTTATTGCTTGAAGCACATTTTATATTGTAATCATGCATAATATTTTCAGGATATGTATCACAAATACAATGCCGACAAAGATTTCGAAGTAACTCAAGCAGAAGATACTGAAGCGAAAAGCGAATTCTTAAGACAAAGAGACTTTTTAGAGAGGACCGTGTCAACTTTACACTTTCAAGTAAGTATCTGGAGAACCATAAATTTTTTAAACATGAATTAAATTGTCAGCAAAAATAACGGCCACCGTGAAATATTTTATGGAGTCAACCCTAACCCAAACTGAATAAATAGTTAAACAGTTATTATTTTTTATGATTAAAAGTAGTCGGTTTTTCACTGTGAGTGTATAGTTATAGGTATTGTGGCCAGTAATATGTTTAGTTTGGACGTTCTTGAGCGATCACTGATATTCGCTCATACGTTGCGTTTTGATGACATTGCTATTGTCACCAGTGAGACGGAATCATTGTCTTATTGACTATTCTGTGGAATTTCTTATCATCCTGTGGTGGAATGTTTGTTAGCAATGTTTGAAAAATAAGGGTATTCGACAGACATCATATATTGATTTTGTTGTGAACGAAAACTTTGAGAAAAAATAATAGATACGGAATAGGTATAGGTTCTGGCTCTGAAAGGTCTTTCTATCGAATCTTTTTTTGGGACTTCTTCATTAGACATACTGAAAAAGGTCAGTATGAAACATTCATCGTCCTGGATTTAATTATGTCATCTTACGAATCCACAATTTAATAAAGAATGTCGCTAGCAAATATAATCAATGCACTTTCCATTTCCATATGTAATATGGTGCTCACTGTATATATGATTCACTACAATATTCTCCATTAAAAGGTGATATTAAGATTTGATAATCTCGAATGAAACCATCAATTCCTAGGCAATGATTATTGATTAGTCACAGTAGAAGTACCCTCGTACCTTTACCAAACAGCAAACGTACCAAAATTATTACTTAATTTGTATCCCCAATTCAGATTCAAAAATTGATATTATAATCAAAACTCCGACGTTTTTTATTGATGATTATGTCGTTTTGATTGTATGTGTTTGTCCCATACCATTGTCATCACATCAATATGTCATTCTTTATTATTTGCAGTTTTTTTCCATCCTACACAATTCCTACACATGAGAATCACAAAAAAGCGCGACTATAGAAAGAGAATATTGAAAAGGATTCCTGGTAATTTCATCACTTTCTTATGTAAAATCATCAACGCCATATTGAAACTATTATCTTTCCCTCAAAGATGGGAACATCTCGAAGTAGTGATGCTTGAGAAACAGTGCCAGGATAATGATATTCCGCATCATCATCCTATCAGTCTTCTATGCTCTCCATCTGAAATAACTGAGCGAGTGATTAAACAGAGGTTACAGGAATTTATCGACGACAACGAGCTGATACCAGATGAGCAGTTCGGTTTCAGAACTGGCGACTCAACTAAACTACAAGTCTTGAGACTCATTGAGAACACAATATCGTTGAGAAATGATAGACAAAAGACCCATCTTGCTCTCCTTGACATAGCGAAAGCATTTGACAAGGTGTGGCATGATGGTATCTTATACAAAATGATCGATATGGGCTTTCTTGACGATTTGATTCAGTTGATGTGTTCATTTCTGAAAAATCGAACCATTCAAGTAAAACTTGATGATCAACGATCTGGTATCAAGTCCATTGAAGCTAGTGTTCCTCAGGGTGCAGTTTTATCTCCGCTGTTGTACAGTTTATATACTAGCGATTTGCCAAGACCAGTGATGTGCAAGATGTCGCTTTTTGCTGATGATACGGCAGTTCTTGCATATTCGACAAATTTCGAGCAAGCAGCTATGAACCTTCAAAGCGCGCTGATTTCTATTCAGGAGTACTTCCTAAGATGCAAGATCAAATTGAATCCTGCAAAATTACAATTGGTCGCACTCGGAAGGGAGCGGAGGCCTCCCAGAACCAGAATAGTCCTGGATGGTCATGAGTTAGAGTGGTCTTCACAAGTTGAATACTTAGGTGTGTGCATTGACAAAAAGCTCACCTGGGCCCAGCACATTGAACAGCAAGCTTCAAAAGCTAAACGAACCATCGGAGCCCTTGTATTCATTTCTAAACAGACGAAGTAAATTGGATTTGAGGCAAAAATCCAATATTTACATCATGGCTATCAGGCCAATTTTACTGTACGCTTCGGTAGTCTGGGGCCACAACAGCTCAATATCATATCACCAGATTACAAACATTACAAAACAAAATCGCGCGAATGGTGACAGGATCTCCTTGGTATGTTCGGAATAACCAGATCGCCAGGGATCTGAAACTCCCTTCAATCGTGTCAGTCATTAGAGAACGTAACATCAAGACAAGAAAAAGCTGAAGTTCATGAGAATTAGCTTCTTCGAAATGCAGTTGATTATGACCCAGGTGATCAATCAGAGTTCAAAAGACCAAGATTGTCCATAAACTAGAGAAAATGTCAACATTATGACCAAATTTACTATTTTCAAGTTTTTGATATTTATTTATTCCGTTCGATCTTTTTCAATTCTCAGATGAATGTATTTCTGAAACTTATTATTTGGGGCAGAAGGGCTGTTCACATCAAACTTCAATACCGTTTTCATCCTGTTTGATAATAGATATCAGGATAAGAGGGAATCTTCCCTGGTCTGAATCGAATAAAAGGAAGGTCTAATATACAGGGTGTCCCATAATAAGCATGCAATACTTTACCAGCAGATTGAACGATTGAAAATATGAAAAAAAGTTCCTATAAACAAAGGTCGAACAGTGTCTCATAAGCGAGCTACATCCCCTTAAAGGTGGTACCCTGAAGATGGTTTTTATTTTATATCTTCGAAACTGTTGATGGCAGAATTATGAAATTCTGCAAATCGGCCAATCTTTTAATGCCTGATAATATGCGATAATAATAATTCGAAAATTCCATCCAGAAATGGGTCAAACTGTGAGGAGTGGGGAGTAAAATAACCTCAACTTTTTTTAGTGCGTTTTTTTTATAAGTTCAGCATGGAATTATAAAACTTTGAAGCCTTTTTCATGAAAAAGTTTTTCTTGTTCAACTTCGATAGGAAGCACCGTTCTTGAGTAAAATCGATTCGAAAACTACCTTACATGTCATAAAAATTTATAAGGAATTTACAAGAATAAAAAATTTCAGCGTAAGCTATGGAACACGACCACAATGTTCGGGAAAAACAATCGAGACAGGTGACAGATACATGAAATAAGTAAAAGGAGGTTTGAAAGTTTTGTTCAAAGCTAATTGAGAAGGTGTTTTGTAAAAATAGAATGTTTCACAAATCGAGAGTTGGCAGACATGCACTTCGTGTATGGCTTCTATCTAAAGGTCGTGCTCTGGCGGCTGTTCATGAATACCGACGACGATTCCCAAACCGAGGAGCTCGCACACGTCAAATTCTCACATGCATACATCAACGTTTGACGGAAAGCGGCAGACGTTTACACGGACAGGGTATGCACCAAGAAAATCACGCAGTTGAAAATGTTTTAAACTATGATGTGGTGTCAACATGATGGGGCGCTAGCTCATTTTGCACGAAATTGGCCACCCCGATCTCCCGACCTGAAACCACTTGACATTTATGTTTGGGGGAATTTGAATTCGCTGGTGTACTCCACTGAATAAATGAGGCTGCAAATAGAATAAAAACAAACCAATTTCAAATTTTGCGTGCTTCTCAACCTATGAGTCGTCGGGCCCGACTATGCGTTCAACAAAATGGAAGTCACTTTGAACAATTACTCGACTGAAAAAAATGTCGCTCAGATTGATTAAATGAGCATTTTTTCCATGAATAAAAGAACAATTACTTGAGTGAAAAAAATGTCGCTCAGATAAAATGAATAAGTATTTTTCCATAAATTAAATGAATTTACCATGTCTCTGTCACTTATTTTCATATGTCACTCGACTTGATTGTTTTTTCCCAGACCATCGTCGTCTAGTTAGGTAGTTTTTCATTTAGATCGACAATGCCCAAGCATACTGATGGTTGTGCATAGCCTTCCTTAAATTTTGAAGTTTTCTGATTTCATATGAATTTTTATGACATGTGAAGTAATTTTCAAATCGATATTACTCGAGAACAGTGCTTCCTATCGAAGTTGAACAGGAGGAACTCTTTCATGCAAAAGGCTTCAAAGTTTCATAATGTTATGCTTAAGTTGCAAAAAAAACGCACTCAGAAGAGTTGGGGTGATTTTACCCCCCACTCCCCACAGAGTTTGACCCACTTCAGGATGGAATTTTCAAATTTTCCACCAGGGGGCTGTAGCTCGTTTAAGAGACATTGTTCGACCTATGATTATGGGAACTTTTCTTCATATTTTCAATCGTTTAATCTGCTGGTGAAGTATTGCACGCTAATTATGGGACACCCTGTATATATATAGAAAACATTCTTCCAGATTCTCTAAAATGTATCTTTTTAGGCAACTAAGAATACCAACTTGCTGAGCTACGACAAAGTTCGACTGGTCGACGACAACGCCACTCTACTGGTGGAAACCAACCAGCTCAGGAGGAATTTGCAAGCGGAAATACATCAGAACCGCAAACTGAATTCGTTGGTGGGCATGTCGTATATAACACCCAAAGCTGCTCAGCAAAGGGTCAATTTGGCAGCCGAAACCAACAAAGAAATCCACAATAAATACAAGACGCAGATGAAGCAGAACGAGAAGTCGCTGAACGCTATGAAAGTGGAGAACAGCAGATTGCTGAACAAACTCACGGAAATGGACTATATTGAAAAAGACACAGAATATAATGAGGATTAAGAGCCTATATTCATTATATTGTAGTTATACAAATATAATTTCTACTCATGAGTTCCTATCGTTTGATATACCATATAAATAAATAGGTAGTAGTAGGTATCGATACAAATGTATGGAATAAATTCATCATTATTTCGAACATTGGCGACTTTGGAAAAAAATCCAAGTTTTTGATACCCCCATCTCATGAATATTACGTCACCGGTGTTGGAGTAATGACGTAATAATAGACGGTTTCTTTAAATACAAACAGGGGTCATGTAACACCACAGGTTTTTGAAGAAAATTGGTGTACTCAAATGAGTACGATGGGATGGTGAATAGGAAAATAACTCAAGATCTTTGATACTACAAGAAAGTGTTTGGTATTCCAAAAGTGCATCACAATCCAGTTCTCCAGGAAATTGCCACAAAGCAGCAGAATTCCTTTACTGGTTTTCATGTCGGCCTCGGTTACCACAAAACTATGGATGGATCTTTGTTTATAATCCTTCGTTCTGCGTGTCATACTGATATCCATGTAATTCCTTGTCGTTGTCCACGTAGGCTTCTCCTTCAATTTACTGCCTTCATTTTTCAAAGTTTCGAGATTCTTGAGAAAAGTACTAATAAGAGCACGTTGTCATCGGTGCTGTTGCTATCGTCGCTATCCATCGCTTCTTGATTTCTAGCGGCTTCTTCAGAAGAAGATATTCCACCATTCGAGGAACAAGGAATTTCAACTCCTCAAGGAATATCAATGAGGAAGTTTATACCCGGGGAAATGCCAATATAATTTTTGTCAAACACTTCTTCATCTGGTTGAGTGTCTACCTCAGGTGGAACAATAATTATTAGAGGCCCACGGTTTCCTGAAAGGACGTCATCCATCCCTTCTACTTATGTTTCGAAACGTTTGCCAAAGATAAAATATACTTCGATAAAATTTATTGGAAATTATTATCTATTTGGAACCTAGTTCTGAAATATAATTCCGAAATTTATCACACGTATCTTCCCATTGTACCCAAATGAGTACACCGTTGTTTTTTTCTTGTTTATGTGAAGAATAATGAAGAAATAAGTGTCAGGATAGTATACCCGGTGTCCCATTGAGCCTATCGACCGGCTTTATCCCAAAAACTATTGGTCCCACAGTTTTAGGAAAAAAACTATCTCATGTAAAGCAGTCAAGAAAATTTCAACCAAGATATTTTCAAGTTTCTAAAATGACGGCTAGGTGGCGTAATACAAATTGAAAATTTAAAAACTTCTTTTTTTAAGTCAAATGCAAACAGAGGTATTTTTCAATGTATTCTGCATCTCCTAGTCAATACCTATAACTTTTGTAGGACACTTTTTGTTCTTACTCTTCAAACAACGCCAACAAAAACAAAAGAAATACGGTATACGAAAATCACCATAACATCGGTTTGTCTTATCCGATTTAAATAAACTTTTGATCGTTTGATAGGTAATTTAAGGTAGAATAAGAATACGAATAAGATTTTGAATATTCTGGCAAATTCCTCAACAAACTACCAGATGTATCTTTTCGTAATTGTTTCCAATAACTGATGATTTCTTAAAAATTTCAAATGTAATGACATATTTTCTTAAGAAGTTCCAGTGTAATCGTGCAGGACTATCCCCAGCAGATGCTTCGAAATTTTACAATAATAACTCGTAAGTTGAATATTAGATATCTACTTAACTCAGCGTAATATACAGAATGACAAGTGACATTGGAATAAGCACAGATATTTCAAAACCTAAATTTTGACGAATAGTATTGAAGGGCACCCATATAACAAATATAGGAATCAAATGATAAAATCCAATGTGAGGCTTTTTTTCAATCCGAAGTTCTACACTGTAGCAATTTTGACGTCACCTCTGTACATACAACTTTCCATGCGGAAGGCTATTATCAAATTTTCGAGATGAAATTTCACGTTAATTAGAAGGATTAGCAAAAATCTGATATCATGGAAATATCCGTTAGCCTGTGTTTTATTGATTTACTGAATCCAGGTAGCCGTGTGGACAGAGTGTCAATATTCTAATCCGCATTCGCTTGCCGGTCGTGGGTTCGATTCCCATCGACTGCAGAAATTTTTCTGATGGCCCAAGAAAGTGTTTGGGATCACACGTGTAAAGGTAAGGCCCCCGTCATTCCTTGCACGCACAAGACTTTCGAAGACTTCTGAGGGTTGCTCGTATAGGGGGCAACCGAATGACGGATAAAACAATAATAAACAACAACAATAAATATAATAATAAAATATGAACTGATTTCAGACATGAGAAAATTAAAGAAAATATTCTTAATTTTCTTTCACTCCATCCCGTACACCTACCATCGATATCGGAATTAGTCATACTTGTTCGGGAATTAGTCGATTGGAAGGATGACGTAACTAATCAGTTATTCGAATGATGAATCAAACCAATCAGCAGTCTCGTTCTAGACCTCCATCGCGTACAGTCGATTCAAGTGATAATAAAAAAGTGGAAAATTTAAATTCATATTTGGCTTAGTGATTGTATTTTCATTTGAGTGAGTGAAAGTTGTATTTTTTCGAGCTGCTAAGTGAGTGTTTTTGTATAATATAATTTATATGGAGTCATTCATCACGTGGTTGGTATTTTACTGCGGTTTATTTCCATATGACGATGGAATATTTTTGAAATTCGCTTTTTTCACCTCTATTTGTGAAGGGGATCTAGATGGATATCAATATATCAATGCAACAAGTTGCGATAATATTCGCCATCTTGTTACGAGTAAACACAAATATTTTCAAATTATTTTCGTATTCATTTAGGATGGAATAATTTGCTTTGTTAACTAATACAGAGGTACTTAAAAAAGGTGATGGAATGAGTTGCAAAAACATCCACCATTCATTTTGTAGAAACTTATATACTCTATTGAGGTTATCCATAATGTCAGTTTTCGAAAAAAATAGATTTATATCGAATACGGCAATATTGGGGTATACGACATACTGACATACCTACTTCATAAAAATTGAGGGTAATTTGGATCTGAATCCGCGTTAACGTAAAAAATACAGGGTGTTCCATTTGAAATGAATGAAGTTTCGGCATCTTCAATCCCGTCAAGATTGACATTGACATATTGTTCGATATTTAGAACTGATTTTGTAGGAACGAATGGAACACATCTTGTACTCTATCCGTATAAATTTATTTCGTTCCAATTTCCAAATAATGAGAATCACAATATAATTTTTCTATGCCTCTACACAATCAGTTCTTCACGGAAATAGAGAACTAACTTGGCAACCGTAGAATCAAATATAAGAAACAAAAAACAGCTGTGTAGCAATTCTGACAGTGCATTCGAAAATGCAGTTGAAAACAGGGTGTCCTATTTGAAAAACTCATCATCAGCCGAAATCTTAGAATTAGTACACCCTATAGATATGAAAATATTTGTAGGTGATAGTACTCATAAATGATGGAAATAAGTAATTGGTACTCGTAGTTGACCATTTTTACGTAAGAAAAGTTACTGGGTCGATTACTATGATATATCTACGTCACATTGAGCGAGACGTTAAATCTACTTTTTTCCGCTAGATGGTGATGATGCTCTTGCTGCTGGTGACGAGTGTGACGAGTGAGAATAAAATGGCAAATGGCATCTTAGGTACACGGAACATATATAAAAGTCGGTTCATTTCACTCAAGATTCAAAAAAACTGCAGCAATTTCAAAATTGACAGATGTATTTGAATTTTGTCTATGTATGCGACGGTTTGGCTAACATATAAAGAAAACACACTATTGACTCACCCTATATACCTACCAAAAATGACCCTGTTTTTCTATTGTAAATATATGCGATTTATTTTTACCCCCCGTTGAACGATTTATCCATATAAAATTTAGTCATAAGTACATGTGATTCTATCTTTCGGGAATTTATCGTTTGTAAAGGTGACGTAACTAATCAGTCATCAGAATAATGAATCAAAACATTATTTATCAGTCACATATTAGATTTCGTCGTGTACTGTCGATTTAATTGGTTCAACAAAATAACTTGTATCATTTCATTTGCATCGTGAAGTTTCAATACTTGAGCAGTTTGTTTGATTCACCATATAGTGAGATTGACCTTTAATTTTTTCATTGTACCTACGTATATTGAATTTTTTCCATTTAAACTTGTAGCAAAACCCCTAGCTCTCCATTTATTTATCGTTCACTGTTGAAATAAATTAGTTAACTGTAAATGTTCGTCTGGTTTGTTTAGAACACCCTGTATGCGCTATGGTACCAAAATTGCCAGTAAAGTTCATAGGTACGCGAACGACTCGCAAAAACCCGGGCTCCGCAAAAACACTGAGCTTTTTATATGCTATCCGACAATTCTCTTCACTTCTGAATCCAACTCATCTAGAGCGGATGAATGTGACATTATATGTTATTGAACCAAAGTGGCCAACACAATTATTAAAACGGCTTTTGGTTTCCAAGGGAAATTATTTCAATACTTGAAATAATTCTCACCTGTGCCTGCGTTTTTGTAGGTAGGCAACGAAATATTATATTTCGTGTAAGTACTATTTCAGAACTGCGTTTTTGTAGTTGTGCTACGAGGCGTGCCATTTTTCTCATACTGGGTGTTGTTGGTTTAATAAATCCATTCGAATCAACTCCGTGCTTATTTCGAGGCCAGTAAATCCGACCACACAAAGAGTTTCATTGCAAACTCTTGTCATATGTCATATGTTATAGCATGTGATACTATTTTGCCGGAAGTATTCGGCGATTGTTACGACAGCTTGTTGTCTAATGATTTTACCGAATGACATTGTTTATCAAAACTTTCGAACCGTAGCAATTCCCCAAAATTGCCGTGTCAAATCAAGAAAAACTTTTCACCCCTCTATTATCTCACAGTTCATAATATGGAAAAACTAAAAGACAGCAGGTCAATTTCATTTTCAGAGAAGACATTTTGAATGCTTATCTTCAGCCCTCTTGATTCAACCACCTAGGAGGGGTAGATTTCAGCCTTAGAACCTTATATGAAA